TGAAAACTCCATATATAGTGCAGATCCAGTCAAATTGTAATCGGCCTTGTAATGGAGACAAGTAACAAGAATCTGTTAATTTCTCGGAATTATTATGTAATTTATTAAATTTTATAAAACTGGTAACATTTTATGACGTCATTATGAGGATTTGAATGGCAATTACAGGGTTAGTGACGATTGTAAAAATGTTAACCTTCGGTGAAAATATGAGGTATGAGAATTGCGACCCACAGGAAAGAAACGAGACAGATTTATTTACAGTTCTAAGAATAAAGACACTCCTGTATATGTAATGTACGTGAAAAAATGTAATTATCTGATGCAAATATCATCTGATCACTGGGCTACTGCTTGTTTTAATTGGTTAAATATACCAGGTGTTCGTTCCACTCTAGTTATTATTTTAATGTAAGCAATAGATAAATACCGCGGCTACTAAAACATGACGAAACGGATGTTCATAATCACAAGGCTCAAATTAAACGCTAAAAATACTCCGATTTTCTGATCCCTTAATATTCTAAAATTTATCAGAAGTTTAATATTTTTTTTAGTAGAAATGTATTCTTTTATTCTCCAGATTCGTCATTCTTAATCTTTTCTCACATAAAGTTCTTTTATATTTGGGTTTGACTGTGATCTTCGGATTTATAAAACAATGCTTCTACAAATATTTTGAATAAAATTTATTTCATGTTTATTTTTAGTAGAAATTTGCTTTTTTTGATTCTTCAGATTGCTCAATTGTTCTTAATTTTTTCTCGAATGAGGTTCTTTTGTATTTGGGTTTAACTGTCATCGTAGGGCTTTATAAAACAATGTAGATGTGTTTAAGACCGCAAACAATGAAACATCAACGCATGAACTAAGCGATCTTCTTAAAGGATTATTTTCGATTCATATTTTTGTTTGATTTATATTTCTGGTATTTTCTTTAAATTTCCACGATGATGTAAAATTTATTTTTTTATTTATTTTTCTACATAGGGGCAGGCACGTCACTTTTGATGCCTACAATGTTATATTAACAAAAACAGCAGTGTTTCCAAGATTTCATGAAAATTTATTAAGCCTTTTGTTATTTCATCAATGAAGTAAATTACTTGTAATTCCCCAGATAAATTGTACAATTTCGAGTTTTTCAAAAAATCTACATCTACATATTACATCTTTTGCACATCTCAGGCAGCAATTACTTGGCAAAATTTTTAAGTGACGTCATCAGATTTTTAGTGATGGCTAACAAATTTGATTAGTTTTATCATTTACATAATATTCTTACGATAAATCAAACATTTCACAACAATCTGCAGTACTTTGGATTTAGGTAATGAAATTGCCAACAGAGGACAGATTAACAAACGGAAACGGGGAACCTACTTTTTACATCCTAGGACTCTATTATTGAATTTGCATCTGTATTCAGAAAAAGTTTATCACGTTGGGAAAAAAGATACAATAATCAAACTCCTCAGTGTATTATTTCCGAAATTTTAATGAAATCTTAGTGAAGATGCTCAACTTTAGTCATCGTTTATGAAAGTCCAATTTTTATTACTACTGTTGTCTTTGATTCGTTCGGACAAGCAAAAGCAGGCAGTTTATTCTGGGTTTCCAGTAAGCCCTTCTTCCTGACTACATTTACAATATTTCTCTAGATTATGCTACGCTAAAAAAGCAGGATCGTGTCATTAAACTCAACTTTGCCGTATGCCGACACCTCAATTAATAATAAGGGTCAACTTCCTGAGAAACAAAACCTGAGACACAGGTATAAGACGTCCCAAACCTCCGAACTAATTCAAAAATTGAAATCTGCGGTTTCTACTGTTCCCTTTTTTTTTCTGTGTAATTTTAAATCCAAACTTTAGGTCACTGGCCATTTAATTCCGGGTACAGTTTAAATCTAATAAAAGGATGGTTTTTATCCCACCAAAATAACGTCCGTCGTTTAAATAGAAACGTGGAATGTCAAATACGTATCCAAGGTATTGTTTATTCTAACTTTATTTGGTATTATGTTATTTTCGTATTTGGTACAGCAAGAGAAAATATTTTGCTTACTTAATTATAAAAACAAATAAAAAAAAGTACCTACGTAAGACTTTTTTAAAGCAAGACATGCGTCGTACGTTAGAGAAGAAACAACTCAATCGAAATTCTCGTATCACGATGAGCATATTTTCTTGAAACCAGCTGTTTACCTTTCGATATGAAGCCACAAAGATACAGGATAATTGACAGTCATTATGACAATTGAATAAACAATGAAAATACCAATTTTTTCGATAATGTACTTTTAAGTGGACAACATTTTAAAGAAAGTTCCATTCTACTACCTCAGGCCAATAAATAGTAAATGATCGTATTTTATTACTTCCCGAGCGTAAGCAAAGGAAGTATTGTAATCGAGTCCGTCGGCCGACTCTCTACTTTTACGTTTTCTCGATCTTTCATGACCCCTAGAAGACGAAGAAATAGGTCTCCCATTTCCGTCTGTCTGTCCGTCTGTCCGTCTGTCCGTCTGTCCGTCTGTCCGTCTGTCCGTCTGTCCGTCTGTTGTCACGGATTTTTATTAGACAGATAATCTCCGAAAGTACTCGACCGATTGTTGTGAAATTTTGTACTTATATTAAGAATATCATGTAGATGGTAAAACGCTAACCAAAATTTGTCGAATCATCCCCACCACTAAAGCGATGACGTCACTTCAAAATTGTACATAGTAAATGGGTTTTCAATTGTATAAAATAACATAGTCCTACACATGTAGTTTACAACTCTGAATCGACTTTTCACCCGAAACGTCCAGATTTTTGGAAAAAAAATCAAAATTATAAAACAACATTTTGAAATTTAATTTTTAATCTGCTAACCAGAATGCTTTGAAATGTTGCAGATGTTTTAAGGCTATAAAGAGCATCATAAATCTTTAGTCAAAAAATATTTGCTTATCCCCTCCAAAAACTTGATGACGTCAGCTCAAAAGTTTGTGGAATAAATCATATCTAAAATGTACAAAATATGATGAGTCTGTACTTGTGAACTATCACTACATTAATATTTTTTGGATTTACATATACAGGGTGACTCAAAAAAATTAATGAATGCGTAAATATATTTTATTGATTTAATCAGGAACTACAAAACCGAATGCTCTGAAATCTTGCAGATGTTTTAAGGTCATAAAGAGCATAATAAATGTTTAGTCAAAATATATTTGCTTATCCCCTCCAAAAACTTGATGACGTCAGCTCGAAAGTTTGCCGAATAAATCATATCTAAAATGTACAAAAAATGATGAGCCTGTACTTGTCATTTATCACTCCATTCATATTTTTTGGATTTGCATATACAGAGTGACTCAAAAAAATTAATGAATGCGTAAATTTATTTTATTGATTTAATCAGGAACTACAAAACCGAATGCTTTGAAATCTTGCAGATGTTTTAAGGTTATAAAGAGCATAATAAATTTTTAGTCAAAATATATTTGGTTATCTTCTACAAAAAACTGATGACGTTAGCTCAAAAGTTTTCCGAATAAATCGTATCTAAAATGTACAAAATATGATGAGTCTGTACTTGTGATTTATCATTCCATTCATATTTTTGGATTTGCATATGCAGGGTGACTCAAAAAAATTAATGAAGGCGTGAATTTATTTTATCGATTTAATCAGGAATTACAAAACCGAATGCTTTGAAATCTTGGGAATATTTTAAAGTTATTATAAGCATGGTAAACTTTTGTTCAAAATGTATTTGTTCATCCCTCCTAAAAAAATTGATGACGTCACCCTTAAATTTTGCTGAATAAATCCTATCTAAAATGCAAAAAATATGATGAGTTTGTACTTGTGATTTATCATTCCATTCATATTTTTTAGATTTTCTTAAGAGGTGGTTCAAAAAAATTAATGAAGTCAATTTATTTTATTGATTAAATTAAAGGCAACACTTATTATTAGTATTACACCCCAACCAACCCAATTTGGTAGACACAAAATTTGTTAAAGGAAAAACTCGGTTGAAACATAAAGGTAGCACGCTTATTTACATCGACTTTAACATTACAGACCTGCATTTGTTTTATGCGTTCACTTGATTCCGCGAATGTGAAATAGACATGTTTATAATCAACCAATTGTGAATTTCACCGTCAAGAATTAAAATAAAACCCAATGTTTTATATAATAAGCGGAAGTCGAAGCAATAAAACCGACGGTCGTTTTGTTTACAGTTTCTGTGTTTGGCTCTCACGTATGCTGTTACGCCTGTCATCTTAAATTAACAATGTTTATACATACACGATTTTCAGTTGCCTCTGATACGTAGGTATACGTGAGTAAATTGTTTCGTTATTTTATTGATTATTACAAATCAATATTCAAACGACCCAATTCATTTTCCCGAAAATTTGAGAATATAATAATTTTATTCTTAGTATTACACTACATCTATCCCAACTGATATACGTGTCCTTGCAAAAATGTTGATGACGTCATCGCAATTTTTTTTTAAATTCCCACTACAAAAATGTAATGAGAAAAAAAACACAATAGGCATGCAGTCGTCAAGTTTCCGACAGCGAGGGAAGTACTGTCTAAACTCTTTAGACCAATTTTTTTTTTATGGAGTCAGTTCAACAATTAAGAAAAGAAAGTCAAATACTGGTAACCAATCTTGGATTCACCATCTCCCATTGTTGTCACCAGTTCTTTCACCCATTAAATGTGTACCTATTTCCGAACCTCTTTACCTTCTATTATATTTACCTAAGATAAAGCCACAAACTTTCGTAAATCACGTTTTAAGATAAAGCCAGAATTTTCACCACACACTTTTTGAACCGAACCAAAACATGATCCTATCAAGCCCTATCGGCCCAAATTGAGTCGTAAATCCTTCAGTACCCTCCATTGTCCGACTTTTTCGCCACACTCGCAAAAACCCCAACAATCCCATCGCTCTTCCACGAACCGCGCTCGACTTACTCTTTCCCTTGATGGAGAACTCGTTATCCTGATGATGGTGGACGATCGGCGCCTTGTCCTTGGCGCCGCCGCCCTTGCGCCTGCTCCTGTACTGATGTCCTCCACATTCGCACAACACAAACAGTGCCAACAACACCAGGAGGTGGCGACCGGTGTCCATGGTGCTGGCACGGGTGAAACCCTCACATGGCGCAAGCTCCTCACCAGCTCGCGCCCAACGACAAACTGACTCTCTCTTCCATGGTTCTGAAACACACACCGGTTAGTTTACCTGGACTAAGGCTACAGGTGGGTACGCGGGGCGCTATCGAAGCCGAGCGGCACAAGAGCGCGCCAAGCGGAGAGCGTCTTGCCGGAGATGACCGATAGAAGATTGTTTGTGTTTGTTTTGTTTAGATTGTGATAATTTGTTCTCGGATTTGTTCAATTTGGTAGACCTAAATTACAAGCCGCATGTTAAGTGTCTTGGGGCTACTTTTCAGACAAAAATAACAACACTTGACACTTAAAACTACCTTTAGTAGAAGGTACAACAACTACTAATTGATTTCCGGGTTATTCTTAAGATTGTATCAATTGTATTTCTTATTTGAATTTAGTTTTTCTCATTGAAACATTTTGGCCCTCACTTTACACATACAGGGCGATAACTTTGCTTCAAAAAATTAATAATAATAAAATAAAAAATCATGCAAGTTTTTCAAAATAACTATTGAGAAAAGTCAAAATTATCCTATTGTTGAATTGCGCAAAAAAATACAATAATGCCGATAAGAAAAAACAACGTTAGTTACTCAACTCGAAATCCAGAAAGGGGTTGATTTGTTATAATTTGTTTTCGGATTTGTTCAATTTCGTGAACCTAAATTGCAAGCCGATTGTATACATCCCCTAAGGCTACTTTTTAGGTAAAACAAACAAAACTTGACATTTAAAATTATCTTTACTAGAACATATAAACGATTTCTAGATTATTTTTAATACCGTATGAGTGTTGTTTCTTGGAACGACCTTTTTTTTGTGACAAATTTTGGTCCTCAAATTTGAATTTAATTTTTTGTATCTACAAATTTTTGTCCGAAAATTATGTACATATACAGGGTGATGCATCTGTATTTTGTCATACTATTCCTATGTCTGAAACTGTAAGAGACAAAGTTGTATTATTTTTTGCTGTTGAAAAATCTTCCCAAAAAAAAGTACATGATTTTTTTCATTACTGTAACTCGAAATCTAGAAGAAGTTTAATTTGTTATAATTTGTTCTCGGATTTGATCAGTTTGGTGGACCTAAATTATAAGCCGTATATTTAGTTATCTTAAGGCTACTTTTTAGACAAAATAAACAAAACTTAACACTTAAAATTATCTTTACTAAACCTACAACATATCCCGATTGATTTACAGATTATTTTTAAGATCGTATGAATTGTGTTTCTTAGAATTATTTTTTCTTTAGTGACAAATTTTGATCCTCAATTTATTTATATATACAGGGTGATGCATCTACATTTTCTTACTCTTCTCATATTTGAAATTGTAAGAGACAAAGTTGTATTAATTTTTGTTGTTGAAAAATCTTTAAAAAAAATTACCAAGTCTTTTCAAATTAAGTATTAACAAAAATCAAAATTATACGATTCTTAAATTCTGTGAAAAAGTACAATAATACAGGTAAGAAAAAACAACTTTAATCAAACTCGAAATCTCCAAGACGTTTATTTTGTTATAATTTGTTCTCAAATTTGTTCAATTTGATGGACAGTTTTTAAATTACGTGCGAAAAAGTGCAAACATTTTGACAAGAAAAAAAAACTTTGATTTCTATAACGCGAAACTAACAAACCTTGACATTTAAAATTTTCTAGTTATGACTTTCAATAACTGCAGGTTATCATTACATCATTATAAAATATACTAAATAATAGTGGACCTAAATTCTACCCTTGGCTTACACCACTATTAACATTATAGATAAATGATTTCAATTCATTAAAAAAATGTTGTCTCCCTTTTATGGGCAACTTAACAACCGACACTAGTTTATTACAGCTTTCAGAATAATCTAATATCTGTAACAGAATACAATAAAGCACGTTTTCGAATACTTTTGATAAATCTGTATAAAATGTGGCAATATTTACAAGAATTTTCACATTTATCACAGATGTGGGGCAAAATGTCTAGTGACGGCAAAAATTAGAAAGGTGGGAAATCTATAATTATTTTATAACATTAACGACGTATTGTACTCTCAGTTTAAAGTGGTTTTTATGACAAGATAATAAACATTATCACCTCATTATTACCCCACGATGGAATAACAAAGTACAGCCCTCCAAGAAACCGACCACTTTCTTATTTATGACTGGGGATTTACTCCATTGTCCCCATCATCAACTTCGACATAATGGACCTATCATAAAAACCTCTTTAACCTGGGAAGACATTACTTTTAGCCATCCAAAATTTAAAAATTTTGAAAACATCACAATCAATCAAGCTAATTAATATTAAAAATTTAATTTAATTGAATTTGGAAACTGATACAATACAAATACACTACAGAGTGTGTAGAAACGTCAAAATCTGGAAAAGTAATAATACACTGAAGCCGTGACTCAAATCCCGGCAGCTTTGTTGAGATGATGGCAGGGTCTGGCATATTTTAAAGAATAAGGCACGAGATGTAATGGAAGTGGTCAAGATAAAAGCGGCCGGCTGTAAGAGGTTGTTGATGGTAAAGTGGAGATTTTGACGCAAGGTCGAGAAAGGGGCTTGACATTTACAAGACGGTGGCAAAATCGTACGTGTTGTTGCCATATTGGTTCAATTTGGTTATTAACATTTTCTTGTTTAATTAAGTCATTTACCGATGCGCGGTTATCTAAGCGGTAAGTTTAACCTTTCTTTACCATTTACGGACAGTAATTACCGGTTCATGAAATTGTATTGATATTTTGCGGTTTGGTAATTGACAATGACGTGACAATTTCTCACTAAAACAGGCTCTCAGGTAATTGAATTTGACTAAGTTAACAAATCGTCACGTGGAAAAAACGGTCCGTGGAAATGAAGACGTTGACAGGAGGACGTCCAATATTTCCCAACGACTATTTCTTTATTAGTGAACCATTTATACAACTAGTGTAATGTAAATCCAACTCAGCCTCGAAAACATTCCACTAGCAAAATTAATTCAGACCGATTCGTCTTAACCACGAAAAAAATCCCCCCGAAGCTCCTTCCACTTCGCCCGGATTTTTCTCCGTGCTCCGGTCAGCCGCCCTGGAACTCGTGACGCGTCTCCGAGTCGAAGATTCGAGATTTTGCGGGCGTGGTCGCCCCGGCCTGTATTATTACCGAGATAATAATTTCCAATTCTCATTCCACCTAACGATTCTCCGAACTCGTGATTAGCGATTGCTGCTGGAAGCTCCGATTCGTGATCCGGCGATCTATCCGGGATCCCGATTCCGGAGCACCGGGCCGTGACCACCGCGATAATTGCTGGAGCGCATTCCGTGCCATTGTGAAGATGTCCACGCTTAGAAAAACTAACAGAATTCATTATTAATCAACGAATTCGATTCACGTCCATTACAACCACCCAACACTTGCTTTCGAACCGTTCGACGTGTACGAACGGCTGAAGAGAATGCTAAAGAGGACGACTGCGAGGCCGCAGATAATCTATTTGTTATTAGCAAGCGGCCGGCTGAATTTTAACTAATTTCGGAGATGATTGCTGAATAAATATGTTTCTGCACGAAGAGGCGAAGATTTTTACGTGGAAAAGCTCGAACAACGTACGGTAAATATAATAATGCTTGAACAAATTCAAGAAATGCAGTGTTCACTATGTCGCGGACTCTAATTTACAACGAATTTTCCAATTTTTTAACCACCACTATACAACGATCAATCCAAAACGCAAAACTAAACGTGTCTGAATAAAAGGGATTGTGGTCAAGGGCACATCACCCTTGTTTCTCCGTTTCATAAATTACACACTCCAGGGAACCCCAACGGCTTTTGATTTAGAAGTTTGACCTTCTGGGTGGAATAAGAATGCAACTACGGCATTCTTCGGATAGAATTTTCATAATTAATGCAGAAATGGTCGCAGCAGTGATTAAATCTAGAGGAGCGACCTTCGGGCATGGTCACCGCTCATCGGCACAGAAATCATAATTTTACCATATACAGCGGGTTCCGAGAAGTGTGATTTGTTTTACCGTAGGGTTTAAGCCATTAGCGGTTTTTTCTAAGCGATCCATTAAATCTCAAACCTTCCACTTACCAATTACCATAAAACATTGGCTGTAAAGTTTTAAAAGGTCGATTTTCTATGGTGTTTTACCGAGTCATCATGCAGGTTAACAAATCGCTGTATGGGGTCAGATTCCGGGCACGGCGGCTGTCAGACCTTTTTCTTCTATCGTATGGGATCTAACAGACTACTAATTGTTAACAACGACCATATGGAGAAGGTAGCTCGAAACGTCGAGAAGTTAGCCACAAAAAGGGAATGCTCTTGCTGGTATTGGAAGTTTTGAAATTTTTATATAGTTGTTTTGGGCTTTACGAGCGTTTTTGTTACATTTCAATTCCGAGGAACTAATGGGTTAATAGCCACAAAGCCATAGTTTATGGTGCCATGAATAGAAATGAGCATACGATGTGGAATAGTCTTTTTTATGGCATTTTGTAGACGCAAATGACGATTTCTTAACTTTTTAACATTCTAGAAGGATACCTCAATATTGCTGAGGAGTGGAGCATAAACTGTCCACAGTGAAAAATTGAGCTCACAATTAACTTCATTTACGAATAATCAAATCGCTTATTACCAAAAGTAAATTATCCTTAACAACTATTATTATGCTGCATGTTTATTGCGCAGCTGTTTTTACCTCATTATAATTTCGGCTGTAAAATGCCACTCGCCATGCACTTCAACATTAATTAATCATTTTTAAGGATACATAAATTCGACAACATTTACTTCTTGAAAGTTGGCAGTCGCACTCCAAACAGGAAACAAACACTAGGAAAGTTATTGCAAATTTGTATGTGACATTCTATAGAAGCTATAAATGTCTTGAAATTTTTTTAACCTATCGCAACGAAAGTTTATAACTGATGTTGTTATTAAAACAATGTTTATTGCTACGGCATGTAAACGTTCTTGAGATTAGATTCTTCTGTGCCGTTGTCATACACGTTTGGAAAACGTTTTCAATG